AACACGAAAGTCCTACCGAAACTCGAATGTCTTACTGAAAGTCAAACCCTATTTTTGCTCAAGTAATTGAAATATAACGATTTTAAAAAAATCACGTGACCGCGCCACTTGAAATCGACCAATGGGATCGTGGGTAATAATTTATAGAATTTATTCGCCGATTTTAAGTGGTGCGGTCACGTGATTTTTTATGATATCAAGATCTGATTGGAAGATCTTAGGGACAGTGCAATCACGTGATATTATATAAAATCCATCGGGGAAAGCTACGGGCACAACATTCACGTGATCATGGTTTTATCGGCACAACAAGATTGACCAATAATAGCCCGTATAATATTAACGTGATTTTTAACCAATCAGTGGCGTGTTGATCGATTATCTACTTAACGTTAAGTAAATTGATCATCTACGTACGTACGTACTTATGTCAAAAATGCTGCTCAAAACTCGATCCCATTATGAATTTTATATATCATATAACATTGCAATATGTAAATTAAATATATGCTAAATTATATGGTTTTTATGCTTCTAAGTAATATTGTTAGTACGTATCAAATATGCAATTTTAGTCAAGAGATGTATTTTTTTCAAAATTATATTTTATCCGATCAGGTGCCGATAAATTTATTAATTTAAAATATATAAGCGAAAGTTTTATTTCAGCATCCCGTTTTCTTTATTTGGCATTTGTAATTCCAGATTCAGCTTTCTTTAACATAATTATTTCTGAATATAAAATAAATTATGCGAATAATTTTGACCAATGGTCAACAAGACCATATTTTTGACATATGGGTGCATGTTGTACATTAACTGTTGGCCAATTTACATTCACATAATTTTTTATGCTTACATAAATAATGTGGTTGCCATTTATGAAATGTAAGATAATTGGATTTTTTCTATGTTGGAGGTGCTTCAAGTGGAAAGAATAGCATGCTCTGCCCGTTTAGTTCATCAAAAATTGCAATAGGAATAGAAACTGTATCAGCGGCCAATTGTGCGCAATCTGGAGATAGAAACCAAAGAGAAGGTGGGCATGGGATACTCTGCACCCCAATATCTGACTAAGTAAACCAGTATCGTATCACAACCAGTCTCTATAAACTTCCATGCGTTTATTTAATTGTTCACTCATAGCCAACTTAACAAGAATCCAATTTTCTTCATTTCCTCTAATGGCAACCGCAAGTGACAGAAATCCACAGTTACCATCGCTCTTTGAATCATAAACCTGATCAATATCGTCAACAGGAATTCGAGTGCTTAATGGAATTTTTAAAACTTTTAGCTTTTGATCTAAAAAAAAGAAAAAAATTAATAATTAGGCCACGCAAAATTAATATTTCAGTTCTCAAAATTTTAAAAAAATTTTGTAAAATTTAACTGACCGAATTATGAGAACCAATTTATTAAGTTTGTATGGCCTTATTATACCTTATTTATAAAATATTTACATACCTTCAATAAAAATCTGTGAGGAATTATTGCTTTCGATTTGCTTTTTTTTAGTAGGTTTAACTTTTTTTTTTTCTTTTTGCTCCATAAGTTCAACAGCAATCGGCAATCGTTTTACTCCAGAAGAACGACCTTTTCCCACAATTTTTTCTGGCACTTTAACTTCAAAAAGATTAATAACAGGAGCTGCCAGAATCTCATCAAGCTTATCTAGAAATGCTGATTTTTGTTGCTCATCCGGAAAGTTCACATATCGAGTTTCAAGATTATATAGTCGAGACTTGAGCAAAGAAAATTCATCGAATTAGATGAAGCTAGATCAGTTATATTTTGCACTTGACTAACAGAATTCGGCCGATCTTGCTCAGGGAATAATAGCCACCTTGTCGGAATAGTTGCTAACATTATAGATTCTTTCATTGGAAGTATATGCTTACAAGGTATATTGTAATTAACACGTAGCTCACATATACAGGCCTCATATGTAGTCGCTTTAAGTAGTTCATTTTTAATTTGATTTAAAGCAAACTGTGCTACTTTTCTTAAGAGTGGCACCAATTGACTCTTGTCAGTTTGCACTAATAAGGGATCAATACCAATGCTTTCATTTTCATTTTGCAAAGAGCTTTCCTCACTATGTAAGTGTAGCCATCTATCCAAATGGTTAAAAGCCTTGGTCAAACTTCCAGAAGATTCGAGTGCGTGTTTTATTGCCGAATGTGTACCCTCAACACGCTGTGTCGTTGTTGCACCAAAGTGCATAACTCTACTCGTATAGACCCCAACCCATTTTTCTTTGATTTTCATCATTCTTTAAAATGCAATTATATAAGATTAAAATAATAAATATGGTGATGATACTAGAAGGGTCAAAAATTAAAATATCATATATCACGATTAAATATTATAAAAAAACAAAATAAAAAATTAATTATAGTAGTGCAGATGAATTGTTGCAATGTAAAGTTACAAAATCCATAATCTGCTCACTACCAGTCGTAATGTAGAACCCAGTAATTATTAGCTATAATTCGACTAATAATTGTCGAAATTATGCAATACAAATACTTCAGTAGCCTTCTAATGAAAATGTGACAAATTCGCTCGCCTTATATAAAATGAAATTTTGTACTGTACTAAAGAATAAATAGCTTATACTTTAAATAAATAGATAATAATAACGCTTCGTGCAGGTTTATTGGTAAAAAAAATAAAAAAAAAATAAAAAAATAAAAATAAAAAAAAATAAAAAATTAAAAAATTAATACTTACCTGTCAAGATATTTTAACACTTCGCTTTCATTTAAACTTGATGAAGCTAATTTCTTATAGGTTGCTATCGCAGAATTTAGTGCTTCAAAATCTCTTGAATGAATAAAATTGTCTACTACCTTATAACTTCGTCAAATGAATCATCGTTAAAATGCTTTTTTAAATTCTTTTTAAAATTATTTAAAATATGCCACGTGCATAAAAGGTGCTCAGATTTAGGGAATACTTTTCTGAGGGCATTGATAAGTGCAGAGTCATTGTCTGTAACAAATACAGAGGGAAAAATATCAGGAAAAATAATTGAGGCAAACTGTTCTATAATCCAAATATAAGATTTTTCAGATTCGTCTGAAACTCAAACACCGGCGATACCAAACGTTTGCAAACGGTTGACTCCAAGATTACTAATGCCAACAAAGTTTACAAACGGCAACTTATAAACATTCGTTTTATAAGTTGCATCAATTAAAACAACTTCTGAAAAACGCCTAGCATTTTTAATAGATTCCGCATGACAAAAAAACAAATGCTTAATTTGTCTATCTATATTAATATATACAGTAAAATAATTAGCATTAAAAATAATAAGACAAAAAACATAATATAAAACACCTCCCTTTATAAATCTCACAGCGCACAGTATATCCCCTTTCTTCCATGCCTGTTATTAATGCACCCATTGAAGTCTTTTCCTCTAAATAGTGAATCCGTGTATTTAAGTTAGATATGTCTTTTCGGGTTGCAGTTGGGGCTCCATCATCATTTCTTATAGCCTCATAAACCATACTAGGTTTTGCTCCCGCTTTCAACATTTTTACAGCAATATGCCTAACATCTCGTGTTAATTGACGATGCTCATGGAAAACCCGCACATCCTTCACCATTGGATGGTTATGCTCATTCACAATTTCTACAACACTCCATTTAGACTTATTTGGAATAGCTTTTATTAAATATGGGCATTGACAGCGCTTACTCATCCTTTTTCTTTGCCGTGTTTCTATTGTTAAGTTCCAACATTTTTTGGGCTGACCGCTACGTTTGCATTGGATATGAAGATGGCGGTAACTACTACTTTTAATTGATACAGCAAACCCCAAATTTTTAGCATTTTTCTGAGCAACATTGAGAATATCCTTCTTTGTATTATAGTTCTGACCAAGAATTATTACAGCTTGTAAAAAAAAAAAACATTAGTAATAGCAATAACAAGTATATTAATATATTGCAACCTTATAATGATTTATTTGAACTTCACTTTTCTGTACCTGACTCTTCTCCATTCGATCTAATTCTGTCTTCATCACATTTACTCTCGTTACTATTATTTGAAGTTGGTATACTAAATACGTTAGTATTGCAATATGAAGTATTACTCTGGTTACTTGATTTTGTAGAATCATCCATATTCATACACGAGAGGTAAAAAAAATTGATATATAAAATAGGTGCAATATAACTATATAAGATATGCGAAGCAAAGATACATGTTAATAGTAGTTGGTATTATAAATCAATTTATCCGACAAACTCATATGATCATGGCGCAGCAACGTACTGTTATTTTTTAACGCAAAATGACGTATTGCCGAATA